CGATTTTCCAGCTAGAGCTGCTTTGCGCACTAGACTTGCACTACAAAGTTGCGATTTTCCAGCGCGTACTAGACTTCTGAGCGACACGTCTGAGCACAACTTCTGATTGACACTTCTGAGCGACACTTTTGAGCGACACCTGATCAACACTTCTGAACAGCACTCCTGGAAATTCCAACGTGTACTTATTTCCTGTAGTTTGTGAATTTGACCTAAAATTACATATTTTCCAGAAAACGCCTAAATTGATGAGTTTCTGCACTTTCGGGGCATCAGAGCACTTGGGGTTTGAAGACAGTCGGGACGCATCCTTTTTTTCAGGCGGGATTTGCGTGATGCATCAGGGCATCAAGGGATCAAGGCGTCAAGCCATCATATTGCGGCGGATGCCCATATAGTAGTCGTAGATCTGAAGCATGACATTTCCCAGCACCAAAATGCGCAAATTCTACGCAAATTTGTGAGGACCCTTGCTACAACTGCTTGAGACCGGTATCCATGCATTTTGCCGCGCCGACTTTTGCCCGCACAACGCCCGCAAAACCCGCACAACACCCGCAAAACCCCGCAAACGCCCGCAAATCCAAAAATCTCCTTTGTGGGGTATATCCGCTTTTTGTAAATCAGCCTATTTTCAACAAATTGCACAAATGCATGGGCCAGTCCCGAGTTCAGTGTGGGTTGCAGATTGATAAGGATGTTCAACAGGTTGCGCGCATCAGCAGGTGTCAGTACAAAGGCGCTTGCGGGGAAGGGCGCGAGGGGCAAAAGGAACATGGCACGACTAGATTTCCTGAAGCTCGCCTAGATTTTCCAAAAAACGACGAGGAATCCGTCAGAACGCCTAAACTTCGAAAACGACAAGGAATAAGTACGCAAAGGAATGTCCAGGCTTTTTCTGATCGACACTTCTGAGCAACACTTCTGAGCGACACTTTTTCTGATCGATTTTTGTGAGCAACACTTCTGATCGACACTTCTGAGCGACATTATCAACACTTCTGAACCACACTTTTTCTGATCGACTTTTCTGAGCAACACTTCTGATCGACACTTCTGATCGACAGTTTGAGCACCACTGCTGAACCACACTTCTGATTGACACGGATGAGCAACACTTCTGATCCACACTTCTCATCGACAGTCTTCTGACCCACACTTCTGATTGACACTTCTGAGCGACACTTTTGAGCGACGCCTGATCAACACTTCTGAACCACACTTTCTGATCGACACTTCTGAGCAACACTTCTGAGCGACCCTTCTTCTGATCGACTTTTTTGAGCAACACTTCCCCCCTTTCTTCTGATCGACACTTCTGATCGACACTTCTGAGCAACACTTCTGACACTGAGCGACACTTTTTCTGATCGATTTTTCTGAGCAACACTTCTGATTGACACTTCTGAGCGACACTTTTGAGCGACACCTGACCAACACGTCTGAACCACACTTTTTCTGATCGACACTTCTGAGCAACACTTCTGAGCGACACTTTTTCTGATCGACTTTTCTGAACAACACTGCTGATCGACACTTTTGAGCAACGCTTTTGAGCAACATTTCTGATTGACACTTCTGCCACACTTCTGATTGACGCTGATGAGCGACACTTCTGATCCACGCTTCTCATCGACAGTTCTGAGCAACACTTCTGACCAACACTTCTGATCCACACTGCGCATCGGCACTTCAGAACGACACCACTGAGCAACACTGCTGAAATGACACTTCTGAGCGACACTTCTGAGCAACACTTCTGACCCACACCACTTTTGAACGACACCTGATCAACAGTTCTGAACCACACTTTTTCTGATCAACACTTCTGAGCAACACTTCTGAGCGACACTTTTTCTGCCATTTTTCTGAGAAACACTTCTGATCGACACTTCTGAGCAACACATATTTTGATCCGCACTTCTAATTGACACTTTTGATCGACAGTTTGAGCAACACTGCTGAACCACACTTCTGATTGACACTGATGAGCAACACTTCTGATCCACACTTCTCATCGATAGTTCTGAGCAACACTTCTGAGCAACACGTCTGATCCATACTTTTGATCTGATCAACAGTTCTAGTGCTGAACAACACTTCTGATCCATACTTCTGACAACATTTCTGAGGGACACGTCTGAGCAACACTTCTGAGCAACACTTCTGTTCGACACTTTTGATCGACACTTCTGAGCAACACGTCTGATCGATACTTCCGAGCAACACTTCTGTCGACACTTCCGACCGATACTTCTGAGCGACACTTTTGATCGACACTTCTGAACGACACTTCTAATCGACACTTCTGAACGACACTTTTAATGGACACTTGTCATCGGCGCTTCTGAACGATATTTCTGTCTCCAAATGCGCACCGTGCCGCAGCGGGAGCTTCGACCCACCCAAAGTGCGCAGAGGGTTCACTTTGCGCGCTCAAAATGTGCACCGCGCTATGGCGAGAGCGATTCGACCCACCCAATGTGAGCAGAGGGTTCGCTTCGCATGCTCAAATTGCTCACCGCGCCACAGCGACCGCGATTTGACCCACCCAAAGTGCGTAGAGGGTTCACTTCGCGTTCGCAAAAACTCAAAATGCGCACCGTGCCACAGCGAGAGCGATTCGACCCACCCAAAGTGCATAGAGGGTTCGCTTCGCGTTCTCAAAATGTGCACCGCGCCACAGCGACAATCTCGCTGAGTCAAAATGACGTGTCTGCCACGAAACCTACACCCAGGCACCAAAGTACTGCGCCTGCCACGAAATTTGGACGAAAAGCTCCAAAGTGCGGCGCCTGCCACAAAATTCAATCAAAACGCTCGAAACTGCTGCGCCTGTGCCTGTCACGCAAAGTAAGCTTGCCACAAACTCAAAATCACCCAAAGTGCTGGACCTGCCACGAAATTTAACTTTGATACGTTTACGACACGCATCCAAAACTAGCACGGGACTGAGGCGCCAGAATGATTTCGACAAATTTTGACATGCTTCAGGCACGCCAAAACAAACCGATTGTACGACAGGGCCAACGAAAACGGCGCCGGCGCAAACACTATCACGCGCCTGCCAAGCAGGACACCTCAAAGCAACCACCCCTGGATCGCAAATCCCACTGGCACGGCAACGAGAACACGCAGCCTTCCAAAACACTGCGCCTGCGCAGCGAAACGACACGTCGAGCCGGAGAAGGCTACGATTCGCGCACAGGGCCAATGAAAACAGCACTTGCCGATCCATCAAAAACAGGCTTCCACGACGAAAAACCAAGCCAAAGACCAAGTTGTTGTTTGTAGGTTTTGAACTGGCCCCAAAAAGTATCCTGTATCAGCTTGGCCCGAGGTTTGGGATTTGAACCCTGGCTGTTTTGGTTTGTTTTTACAACAGGGGAAGTTATTCAACGTAACCACCGGGCTCCAAACCACCTTGTTACTTCCATCTCCTTCTCAACATTTCGGATTTCCCCCTACATAGTTTCTCACTTTTTTCCAGGGGGCTCAAACTAGGCAACTGAAAGTCTCGGGGGGGGGGGAGGGGAGGTTTTTTTCAGCGAGCTGAAGCCTTTGCCCAGGTTACGGACCTGGGGGTGGCGTTGGTCTGCGAGAACTTGTCGGAGCTCCGGGTGCTGAGGCTCTATGCCATGGCTCCTTTTGCATTTTGCCAAGGGATGTTGGGACTTTTAATGGCTTTAACTCTTTGCCAACTAATGGGTTGCCCGTAGCAAACCACTAGAAGTTATTCACTTGTAGCAGGGGAGCAGATTTCGCAATTGAGGCGCAGTTGGAGCCCAAAGCCTTCGAGGACCTGGCCAGGCGGAGATGGTGTGGGGTGGGGGTGGGGGGGGTGGGGCTATAGGGGGCTGGGTGGGTGGGTGGGGGGTTTTGATGGCTATCTGAAAGCCAAGACGGGCTCCGTGTGTTTATGCCAACTCCTTCACAGTTAATTGAATCATGGCGACGCCCCCAGGTTCAGGATGGGAATCCTGCAAAGCCGAATTTTGGCTCAAGTTGGCAAAAAAACCCTCGCGTGCCACGTGTATATTCTTGCAATCGACAATGCTCAGCTTCCTGATCGCGCTTGCCTTTTGTTTGCCATTGGTGACAGAGGCTGCAGAACAGTGTGAGGATGAGCAGTGCATCAGCCATACCGGTTTTTTGCAGCAAGGCATTCGCCTTAAGAAGAGCCTTTGTGATCGCATTCAGATGCCGCAGTTGCCAGACGAAGGTTCCTTTAGACATATGTCCCCCGACTCCAGCGACACCTTTGTCTACGTACTGGCGGTGACCAACGACAGTGCCACAAATCCCTACAGCTATCGCTACGCGGAGCGTCGTAACTTCCGTGAGCGCTGGACCCCTTATGGCCCGATCACGTATTGGCAGTCTAGCCCTGATGCAGATTGGGAGGTTCACAACCGGGAGCTCGGCAGCGGAGACCCACACGCGACGACATGGGAATCCGAGGTCCAGTCAGCCTGTGGAGAGTGGGGGTGCCACTCCTCCATGTGGCACGTTAACATGTGGAAGGGCCATCGCTTCTGGTTGAACTTCTGCTGCTGGCCGGACCTGGTCGGCAACGAGGTGTTCTACGAGGGCGGCCCTGCGGATTCCGAGCTGGTGGCATACGCCTGGGAGCTTATCAAGGCGAAAGGCGGTGGCATGGAGAAGTACCCCTTGGTGGAACTCCCTGCAGGACCAACGAAGAAAAGCTGCCCGGGCTGGAAACCTGAATGATGCGGACTTTCTACAGCAAGGCTTCAGCCTTGAGCGATCAGAGTGTAAAATGCGTGTGAAAGCAGGACTGTCACTTGGTCGGCGATTGGCCGTACGAGTGTTGGAGCCACATTATAAGTTGTCCGGAAGCTCTTTTTCGGGGTTGCTTAACGCTCTAAATTTCCACACCCAATCCTGCAAGAGTCAATTTTCGAAACAATGCGCTACTGTTGGATCGCGATTGCATCCCTCAAACGGAAAGGTTCGCGCGGGCGAGCGCCCTGGGCCAGGCTGACGCAGCTGGAGGAGCTCGATTTGTGCGGGTGCCGCTGTGAGGATGAGGCAGTCTGGCCTTCTTGGCGGCCGGGGCCGCAGGAGTCGGAGGGCGGAGGTGGCAGTTCGGCGGTGGGCCGAATCTTCACTGGGTCACCTTAAAAATGGAATTGGGGGGTGTCCTTTTTGAACGGAATTGGGGGACCCCTCCCCCTCAAAAAAAGGGGGGAATTGGCCGAGTTGGGGCAAAAGGCGGCCAAAGAGCCAGACTGTGGATGGCTGCAAAGTCCAACTAGACCACGGCTGGCCCGAAGGCATTATATAACATCGCAAGCGAGGTCGGCCCAACGCTGCAGGATGCGTTCTTTTTTCCTACACAAAGCATGCGTGAAGCAAGCGCGAGACAGCGCCAGGCGGCTCATGGCCTGTTGGCTCATTGAGTGAAAGAAAAGCACGCGTCAGCCCGCTAGGGGTGGCTCCCTGCAAGTTGCTCTGTGCAAATTACTCCGTGCAAGTTGCTCCCTGCAAGTTTCTCTGTGCAAGCTGCTCTGTGCAAGTTGCTCTGTGCAAGTTTCTCTGCGTAAGTTGCTCTGCGCAAGCTGGTCTGTGCAACTTGCTCTGCGCAAGTTGCTTTAAGCAAGTAGCTCCGAGCAGCTTGCGAAGCCCGCCCGCGGACCAGGGGGGACTCGAACCCGCGACCCGCCGGTCCGGGAGCAGGCCCGAGGACCAGCTCGAACAACAAAAGTCGCAAAACACCGACCACGCCGACCCCCGCGCGGGCCAAAACAAAATCGCGCAAACCCACAAGTTTTTGGTACCTCGACCGCGCCGACCACGCCAATCCCCGCAGAGGGTCGATTTTCGTAGAATGTCGTCGGCACTACCCCACCGCCCTAAGAAGAGATTTTAACTCCTCGCAAGTCAATTGCAGTTGACTCCTTGCACTTGCAACTTGCACTTGACTCCTTGCACTTGCAACTTGCACTTGACTCCATGCACTTGCAACTTGCACTTGACTCCATGCACTTGCACTTGACGCCTTGCACTTGCAACTTGCACTTAACTCCGTGCACTTGCAACTTGCACTTGACTCTATGCACTTGGCTCCTTGCAACTTGCAATGACTCCTTGCAATGACTCCTTACAATGACTCCTTGCAACAGCCACTCCTTGCAATGACTCCTTGCAATGGCTCCTTGCAACAATGGCTCCTTGCAATGACTCCTTGCAATTCCTTGCAATGGCTCCTTGCAATGGCTCCTTGCAATGACTCCTTGCAATGACTTTCATCATGATGGTTCCTTGCAATGACACCTTGTAATGACTGTCATGAGAACAGCTCAGGTGAACCCAGCGGAAGAACCCTTCGCGATGCTTTCGGGAAAGCTCGCGCCACGAAACCCAAGGAAAAATGATGCTTCCGCTTTCATTGTACATACCAACGAACAATGGTTTCAACCATGGTTTCGTGGGTGGTGCGAAATGGATTTTGCCCACCCACGGTAGGGTTGCGCCACAAATTGGCAAAGGTGAAACAGGGGAGCCTCGCCAAACTGGTGCCATGTTGGTGAACAATCCGTTCACCAAGCATTTGGATGACGTACGCCAGCATGAAGGTGGAAAATGATCTATTCACTAACTCCGGCATGCACCACTTGCGAAACAAAACATCCATGGGTCAAGCCCACTGGCTGAGGAACTGAAGAAGGCAGTATATGTTTTAAGAACAGCACTTCTTCGTGTCCGGCCGGGATCAGCAATTCAACATGCCCACGCCGCCTTTCGCTCTTAGCTTTTAAACGTCCTTGCTGGACTTTACTCACTTTTTGCCCTTTCGGGTTTCCTTCATGTTTCCCTTTTTTGACCAGTCAGCCGTTATCATTTGCTTGTGGCCTATGATTGGGCAAGTTGCATGCAGGAGCGCTGCAGACGCTGAACTTGACATGGTGCCCATCGCTGACTGACGACTCGATGCTGGGAAGGCGTACGGTTTTCAGCCAATGGGTCCCAATTCTGGCACCTCAATCGCCGAAACAGAAAGTTGGTGTTGGGGCTGGCTTTCCCTTGGGCCAACTTCTACCCGAGTGACTTCGGAGCAACCCAGTTGTGTTTCCGGATCCGGGTGAGCGAGCGCGTGGTATTGTCATGGCCCAAAGGCATAACAGAACTCAATACAAAGACAGGGTTTGTGCCAGACTGCGTGGCAGGCTGGTGGCAAAGCAAAGGTGAGAAGCCCCGGTTGTGTCACCGTTTCAAGTGGCCCAACAGCCGTTTGGCGGCTGGATCGCTTTTCGGGCTGTCCGAAAAAGGCAGCAAGCATGACCCGTTGGGAGTTAGCCGGGGTTAGGGGCCGGAGGCACCAAAAATACAAAGGCCTCTGCTCCCTCCACAAAAGCATCACAAAAGAAGCCGGTTTTCGAGCATGGGGGATAGGCAGAAGTTCCTTCACACTTTTCGTGTTGATTGCCCATGACGCGCCTTGGGGAGTCCTGACCATGAAGCATTTGTATGATTCAAACGGCCTGATGGCGCAGGGAAAATCGGACATTGTGGTTGCAAATCATAAGACCTCACCAGGGGCTCGTGACCTCACGAACGCTCCTGGGGCTTGCTGGTTTTCTGATTTCTGGCAGTTTGTTTTTGTTTTTTTGTTTCTCCGGTCCCCAGATACGTATGCTCTGTACTAAGCAATGTGCCAAAGCAAAATCAAAGAGTTGTATTTGAGGCATCGCTGTACCTTGCCACGCGTGCAGCCACGCATGGGTTTCCCTTTACGTCTTGAACTAGTCCGAGGCGCTTTGTTGCTTGCGGCTTGCTTCGGCTGGTCTTGGGCAGTCCTTTGCGGGTGTGTGGCACGGCGACTCACGCAAGCAAGTCGTGTGCATGCTTTAGCTTGCGCGTGCCCTCTTCAGGGTGATGGACAGGGAAACCACGAAAAACAAGACCCATTGTAGTTCCCCTAGTTTGACTCATACCCATATCCACCTTGCGCCAAGAACAGTGACTTTACTGCTACCTCCTTGGGTTCACCTTTAGTTGGGTGCAGAGCTTTGAGTTCATTCAAGTCCATCACCTCCCTTGGTGGCTCCCAGCCATCCATCCCCTTAGCCGTTTAGCTGTTTTGGGTTTAGTTAGTGGGGGTTTCCATTTAACTCACTAGCAATTGAACTTTGAGCAGGGGATCTGAGGACCAGCTCCATGACTTCTCCTCCCATGCGGATCCCTTTCGCAAACGTCTCGTTTTTTGTTGCTCTTGGCTCGCGAGGGAGGGTTCGTCCCGCTTCTTCGGATAAGCAAAGCCGACTAGATCCGACAAGGTTGAACGCCAATCATTACAACCATTTTCTACTTTCAATTGCTTTTTCTTATTCTTCCTTGGTGCCTCTCGCTGTTTTTTTGGAGTGTGGGGGCAAAACCGCATTCCAAACCATGGTATTCAAGCAGGAGGAGAGTGCAAGCAAGAAGCGGCATCAGCTGTAGAGCCACTCGAGGGGGCATTTGTTCCCCCTTGAGAGTCAAAAAGCGCGTGGTTCACCGAGGCTTTGGATGGATTTCCAGCAGGGCCCTTTGAAGTCATCTCTCAAGATTCCACGATGTAGTGCCCGGAGCACACACCTCCCTTGCATCTTCCACAGGACCTAGAGTCCTGCTTGGCTGTTCAACCCAGTAGGAGTTGTAACTCCGCAGCTCTAAAGCCAATGTTATGGCAGGCAAAACCGAGCTCACCATGAAGGTCCAATGTTGTATTTCAGGCTTTGTTTTTTGTCTTCGTCACTATTGCAGGTCGATGCTTCTGTCCTTAGCTACTGGTTGGAAGGGAGCCAAGGAAGGGGTATCCAAATTTGTGGGAGCCTTACGGAGCCAGGAGGTCTGAATAGGAACATGGCAGTTAGTGGGTTGAACATCCAGGTTCGACACGTCACTTGCCATGGAGATCTGCGTGACGCTGATGAGCGGGCAAGCGGCCTGGGTCAGAGCGCAGCCGGAGAGCCGCATGGATCAGATCAAGCGCGATGCGCAGAAGGCCCTGAAAGTGGGGCTCTACGCGCTGCTTGGCCGAGGTCAGACCTCAGATTTCCCCGTTTGAAAACACACCAAAAGGGAGACTCACTGTAAATTCAACAAACCCAGAACGCAAATGTAGGACTCAATTCCCACCCATCTTGCCCAAATGCAGCGCAATGTGCCCACTTTCGTACGAGTTCTGGAATAGTCCTATGTGGGACAGGAAGGTTTTCAGGACGTCCTTGGTCGCCAAAAGGATGCATGGGCTGAGGCTCGTGAACCCTAGCGGCACGCTGTTGAAGCCATGGAACCGTGCCAAGGAGGCGCGCAAGAGGATTCGGGCTTGCAGGCTTTGCGTTCAGCTTTTAAATTCCCGAGCTGTGGACCCCAATTAGTGCGGAAAGAGGGAAGTAGGTCTGGGAATTTCGGACTGAGCTTTCCATTGTTCGAGCTCAGCCTGGTCAAGAGGGGACAGTCGTGCTCCCCGAAACAGTGATTGAGCACTGGAGTGGTCGCAGCGGTTTGGATCGTTCGGGTTCCAAACATGGCGTTTGGTCTTGGCTCGATTTTGCCAGAGGAAAACTCGCTCGCCCCCATTTTCTTATGTGGTATCGTGTCGCTTGTCCCGAGCCCTCCGCCCACGGCACCTGACAGCCGGATGGAGAAAGGCAAGGGGAGAAGCTCACCAACTGATTTGCCTCTGGGAAGGTGCGAAGCAGTTCCGCAAGGCAGGTTCTTCACCGTTGCGTTATATGCATCATATGCGAACCTGGTTTGGTGGGGCCCATTTTGCCCCTGACCTCTTCTCCCCAGATGGCCGATGCTGGCTGACTGCTTGTGCGCGTGGGGGGGGGGGGATTTTGACCCTTCTGTCCGAGCAGGGTCAAGAAAGTGAAATAGGGAGCGCTATTTCCGGCGTGTTCCTGCACCATGCACCAGGGCAAGGCGTATTTCCATGTGAGCAAATCTGTGCGGATATGGGGTTGTCAGCTTAACACCAACTGGTGCCCGTATCCTTTCTGATCAGTTTCGTTGAAAGCATGTGCCAATTCCATATTTTGAACAAAACTATATCCAGGCTTACTGCCCCCCATGCCAGCTGCATCCTGGTCAAGCATTCCATGTATTGATCAAGTAGCTTCTGGGCAGAGTTGGGAGAGCTCCAGCTAACAGGTTGGACTGAAAGATGGCTCGGCGGAGTCTTGGCCGGCATTCAGCTTTCGGAGCCCTTTATGGATTCGGGGTGCTTCATGGCAAGATTGACGTACCTTCCCAATTTGCCCTCACTTCGCGAGCTGCTGGACTTTAAACTTGTTGATAATACCATTTGAGTGGAGAATAACAGTTTGGAGCTCTTTTTTAGGCAGTCCACTTAGGGAGGTGTATTCATCAGTGGTCAGCAATGCCGACTTTCCATGCATTTTGTCAAGTGAGTGTTAGACCCCCCCAATTTCAAATTTCGCTACGGGGTATCAAAGTCAGACATCCAGAGTCCCTTTGCTTGGGGTTGTCAAAGTCACTAGGGAGAATAAAGCATCTTGGTGTTCCCTTTGCCTTGCCACTGGGGGGTTGACGTGAATAGCATGGGCCATGCTTGTGGCTCTTGGTTTCTTTTGACCTGGCACTTGGTGTGTTTCCCTGCCACTTGTTCCCCGGACATTTTCCCAGCGCCAACAAGGCACTGGGTCTTATCTTTGGTCAAGACCCTGTATGCATAACTCCGTGACCGTGGCTCATGGGTCATAAGATCCAGACCCCTCCCCCTCTCCCCCGTAGTCCTCCAACTATGACCTTGATAGATTTGTATGGTCTTATTCACGGAGGGCTGCGGGGAGCAGCAGTTGGTGGAGGGTGGAACCTCACTTGACCTGGATGTTGAACCAACTTAGTATATAGGTTGTTATCACGGTTATGCCTCAGCTATTCCCACCAAAAACCAATCAGGGCGCATTCCAAAGATGCATTTTGTGGACTCAAACCACATTGTTTTGCCCGGCCAAAAGGAGGCCACCATTCTGCGGGGGCGATGTTCAGGTGGAGAACATGCTCCCCTGCAAATTAACATGAGACCGACAAAACAAAGAGAAAGACAAGGGGAGCTTCTTCGAAATGGATCGGGCTGGGGGGCTCCATGTTCACCTGGGTCAGCCATTGGCGCTGTTGCCTTAAAAGGAAGCAATTGATATTCTAAGAACCTATTCGAATAATATTGAGCAGCCTCTCAAAATGGTTGGCTCCCTTCTGGTTGGTTTTGCCTTGAAAGAGGGACCAAAAAGAAGCCAAGCATGGGACGACAATTTTGAGAACCTCCTCCCCCCCTCCCCCAGAGGGACCCCCTGGGTTCTCCGGTTCCCCCCAAAAGCCGCTGAGGTCACCGGGGTGGTGCGCCGGGTGGATTTGGCCGGGGGCCGCTTCGCGCGCTCCTTCGCGCTGCTGCGGGCGGATGGGCAAGTGGTGAGCTGGGGCCATCCCAGCTGCGGGGACAGCCTTTCGCCCAGTGGGCCAAGGGGAGGGGCCAAAGTCATAGACTGACTCAGGGATATTGTTGTTTGTTTTGTGCTTCTTTTAGTTGTTGCTTGCTTTGTGCTTCTTCCTTTTTTTTCCTCTCCCGGGGGGGGATGTTGGTTTGCCCTCAATTAGAATCCGCGGGAAAGTGGCATCCTCACAAAAAGACACTGACACGGGGTCGGCAATGGGCAGGGGAGACCTTGCGACATTTCTAAAGGACCCTGCGACCCTGCGACATGTGAGCCATGACCTCCCCTCGGCCTCTGAACAGTGTTGGAGCTTGCGCTTTCCCAAACAGGCTTTGCCAAAGCCAAAAGCCCCACATTAAGCAGCAACTCCTTGAGTGAGAGGCCACCCCCCTGAGTGGCTGGAAATCACCAAAAAAGTCACCACTCAGGAGTGGTGAGTTGTTTTAGGAAAAAGAGAAAGAAAAACGCACACACACACACACACACAGACGGGCACAAAAAAGAAGAAGCAACGCCGCTCAGGAGTTGGGTTTTTGATCCTAGCTGCAAAGGATCAATGCACTCCTTCTCCAGGCTCCCGCGCTCAGCTGCAGCTCCGGGACGTGGCCAAGGTCTTCAGCAGCTGCGGCGCCTTCGCGGCGCCCCGGACAAATCCCAGCGGAGCGGTCCGTGGCTTTACCTGGAGTCTCCATGACCCTTAAATGGGGTCATTACCCAAAATTAAGGGGTTATGACCCTATTCTGTAAGGGTCATGGAGACTCCAGGTACTTCCATTTGCTGAAGTGAATGTGATTTCTTTTCCCTTGTTGGTTTTGAAGGGAATCGGTTTCACTGCTGGACATGTGTTGTGTCATTTTTCCAGGGGGCAAAAATGCGAGTGGAGGCTCAGGGACCATCCCAATGGTCCCAGGCTCCTAGGACTAGGTCTCGGGCTGCGGATGCAAGCGCTACTGACTTGGCGCACCTTCCGGAAGGAGAGCTGCAAGAAGGACAGTGCGTCAAGCGTGTGGCCCTCGGCGGCTGCATTAGCTTGCAAGAACTGCTGCAGCTGCCACATTTGGCCATACACGTCCTTGAACAGAAAGTTGAAACCTGCGCGCCCGCGGGCGTGAGCTCTGAGTCGTCATCGTCCGGCAGCTTGGCCGGCACGAAGAGGCGGTGCACGTTCAACGGCGGCAGTGACTCATGTGATAGGGAGCCCTGTCAAGCCTGGAGACAGGGGCGTCCAGATGCTTGCTGGCAGGGGTGGTCAAGCCTAGGATTTATGACAACCGCTGAAAAACTGGCCCTAAGGGCACCACGACTACGATCCCCATTTGGATGTTCAAGCCGCGTCAAGCAGGTTACGACCATGGGAAGGGAACGAAACCAAGAAACCAGTTCTGACTCACTGACTGTAGTGACAACTTCCTAAGCGGGTTGAACATGCAAGGTGCTTGACCAATGTGAGGTGGGCTATGAGCATATGATAGCTAGACATGGGTAAACAACAAGACTTAGCAAGTAGCTTATTGCCATGGGGTACTCGGGTTAGTTTCTTTGTAAGGGATGTGCATCAAAAGATGCTCAGAGGATTCGACTCTTTTCTCCTGGTTGGAATCCGTATCCTTGGATTTCTTTACATTTATTTTATCAGTAAGTGTTATCACTCTCCCTGTATGGGGACCCACCGCCCACCGCCTACCACCACCACCACCACCACCACCACCACCACCACCACCACCACCACCACCACCACCACCACCACCACCACCACCCACCACCCACCACCCACCACCCACCACCCACCGCCCACCACCACCACCCCCACCCGCCACCCACCACCACCCACCACCCACCTGCTTCAGGTTCTATGCGAGCAGTCTCAGGATACGGGCCCCAGCAGAACATTGGCGTTCGAAAGAAAAAAAAAAAAAAAAAAAAAAAAAAAACCCTCACACAAAAGACGCCTTCCCCCGACTTCGGGGCCAAACCGATTCTGCAGGCGATCCGCTGCGACGGCACGGTGGTGACCTGGGGCGACGCCAACTGCGGAGGGAACTGCCGCAGAGTGCAGCAGGAGCTGAGGGACGTGACGCAGATCCACGGCAAACTCCGGAGTCGAAGCGGCCCGCTTGGGCTGGGTCCATGTCGTTTTGGAGTTGGTGGCTTTCTGGCGCTGATGCTTTTGGATTGGGGGTGATTTTTTGGACTTTTGAGTGGCCTATCCGCTCAGAAAGTTATTGAAACCTGCCCTTTAACGAATATGTAGAGGGCAAAATTAAGTTGAGGATGTCACTTTGCTGTCCCTATTTTGACACACACTCACATACGCACCACGGAACCCATTTCAAGGTGACCCAAGACATGTTGCATGCAAGTGGTGGTGCCGTCCCCATTAGAATCTGGGAAGCCGGGGGTGGTACGTTGGGGGGCCACGGGTGCATTTGGATGCATTTAGCACATCTGTTTGGGGCGCGGCTGATTTGCCGCCTATTTCGACTTGCCACGTCGATATGCCTGATCGCAAGCTTCGGGGGGCGGGGGTCCGGTAGGGGGGGTGTACGGACGATATTCGTGTTTGAAGCAGGCTGGTGAAACAGGCAGCTTTGGCCGTTGGCCCTTCTGGCGAACTGTGCCTGCTCCTTTTTTGGAGATCCAAAACCAGCACACACAGACAACACACTGCACTTTGTTGCTAACATCACGTTCCCAAATTAATGCTACTGCACGGCAAATTGACGCAGCACCCCCGAAAAGAAAAAACAAAATACACAAAGAAACAGATGCCAAAAGGGTACAACATGTAAAAGGGTAACATGTCCTAAGGTCAACACAATATGCCAACGGGCGAAACCCAAAGGATGCCCCCCCTTCACAACAACTTACTTGAAAAAGGGCAGAAGCGCTGTCGTCGACAAAGTACCGCCCCGTTTTGCGAAATAAACCACTCAAGCTTCGGACCAAAACATGTTCCACTTTTTACAGGCAGCAAAACATGGTAACTTTGATTTTCGGGTTGCTTGAACAAAAGAGGGCATCCATTTTCCCTCTTTGCCATTGGGCAAGTAAGGATTTGCGCGGCCAACGTGCCGCCGTGACGTGGCAGCATAAAGGAGGTGTGTGCATGTTTGCAACATGGCACCTTTCCCTTGTTGAGCTATGGTTGTGGAAAACCTGGTTTTAGGACCATGTTTTCGATACCAACACACACTTTGAAGTGACAAAGTAGTTATGGGGATGGCCTACTTGTGTATCACCGAATGAGTGAAAACAGGAAGTGTCCCAGCCCTTCTGCGGGAGAACATGTTTCTATGCTAGTAAATGGGTAGCCGGATGGACGGGCAGGGTAGCAAGGCGTACCTGTTGATATTTGCCCCTGCTTTGGCCGGAAGAGCAATGGTCGGAGTAGACACCAAATTTTGCTTCTACACATGTTTTTCATTTGTGTCGAAGATTGAAATGATTGGCGCCCCCCTCAATCCCATGCTGGCTTCCTGCTCTGCATGAAGGTTTCGGGCTCCTTATCTCCAATTCTCATTCCCTGTGATGCGTCATCTTCCATTTGCTTAAGAATATGTGTTATTGTCCCTTGGTTTTAAAGCGCGTGCAATGCACCGCGCCGAGATGAAAGCGTGAAAGAGTGCTGGTTTTAAATTGAATCTATCACTACTGGACATAAATTTATATCATTTCTTCCATCGGACGTATTCGCAAATGGAAGTCATGTGCACCTTGGGGCGCCCGTGCATAAAGCTGTCGGCCCAGGTACCGACCGATCATCGAGGCAGCTTTCGCGGCCTTGCGCAGCGCGACTCGGCGGAAGCTGTCCACAGCTCCTCTCGGCTGGGTCGTTCAGCCCACTTGCCCAGCGGGTTCCACCAGTTTCTCCACTTTTGCGGGGGGATGGGTTTCTGCAAAATGCGGGCAATAGGGTTTTCCTGACCGTCCGTAGCAAGTCAGAGCCTTCTCAAGCATGTTCCAGGCCAGCAGCTGTCATGTTCACGTTCACTCGTTAAGTACAAGCGGCCAAAAACGCGCCTTGGTCCAAGACACCAGCCCGAAACCTTGTTTTTCTTCTCCAAGTCCTGGGAACCTGACACTGGTTGACTTGGCTCCAACCAAGAGAAGAGATGCAGAATTTGCACTCAGCGGACCTGTTTGCCGCTGTTGGCCTGTATTCCCTTGTCCGGTTTTATCGCGTGCTTCCAGTCATGCAAGTTGTAAATGTCCTTTGGCATGGAATGAAGTGGGCAGGCATCACTGTGCAATACAGCATGCCGTGAATGGGGCCTCTACCCAAGCCAGCTCTCAGAACCATTTTAAATGGGGCTGCCTTCTGACGAGTTTGGATATCGTATCGGAAGGAACCGAAGGCCTAGGGCTCCTGACGCTTCTTGGAACCTGTGCGCCACACTAGGAAAACAACCCGTTAACACGTCGAAATGCGTTCGGCCACTAGATCCAACCAAGTGACAATCCAAAAGGAGGAGTAGCCAGTTGCCCGGGTTGTAGCCATGGTTACAACCTACTTACTTACAGTTTGAATTCTTGAAGGGTTGTGAGAAGGGGGCTAAACCCAGTACTCCAACTAAACCCATCGTCATAACCTCCATAGCAGGATGGTTGAACATTCAAGGAAGGAGTTTTGTCTCGTTTTCCATCAAGCATAAAAAGTTGACAGGTCGTGTTCAAACTGTGGTCTCCCAGATAAAAACAAAAAGGTGTATGCATGTCTACAGATGTCTATACTTCTTCCTGAGCTCTTGAATACTTTTTGGGAAGACACGGGAAGACCATTTTAGTGGCAAATAACCAGTTGTGACTTTTTGGCCGCCTCACTCAGGAAGTGTGCATATCTTCATGTTTGTAAGGTCGCGGCTTCGGTAGAACCATGGCCACAACCGAGTAAGCTGGTTGCACGTCCACCAAACCGCGTTTTGAAAACGCGTCTCAGGACGGGCGCGTGGTGACCTGGGGCAGCGAGGTCTGTGGGGGCGACAGCCGAAACGTCCAGGAGCAGCTCTCGGGGGTGGTGGAGCTATGTGCCACCTGTGCCTTGGGAGAAGTGGGTCCCGGGTCGCCGAATGTGATGATTCCCACCAAAACCAGGGACCTCCCCGGTTGATTAACATGGGGTCAGCTTCAGGAGAATGCGTTTGGGCCAGAGCGGAATCCCGTTTCCGCTGTTAGTGCCTTTTGGGAATTGGATGGGTCGAATGGGGTTGCGGAGTATCTCAAAAGCAAATTATTACAATTGTTTGCGCCACCTGTGAGAGACAACTGGGGCAAGAAATGTCGACCCAGGAAAGACCAGCCTAATTAGTTCGGGGCATGAATCCTAAGTTGCACGCTGACCTCCGGAATTTCATTGGCCCAGTTCCCCCTCTTTGGCTGAAGCTAGAGAAGTGAAGCTGGGAGACGACCCCCCCAACACCTTGAAGGGTGTGCTTGTAGGCACCATTTGCAGGGTGTGTGTTTGTGTGTCTCCCTGCGTTCGTTTTGTGATTTGCATGCGGTTTTGTGTTGTTGTAGTTGTGGTTTTGTGATTGTGTCAAATTTGCATTTGTGTCCCATGTCTTCTTTGTGGAAGCAGGGACCGCTTCCAAAAGAGAGTGTTTAAAGAACTCGTGTTAACTACCGCAAGCACGTCGGCTCCCTGCAAGTTTGACTTCCCGCACGCCTGCTCCCATGGAGGTGCACAGCCCCCTTCTGGACAAGTTTTCACGAAGGGATGGCGTATGTGTATATACATGATTCAGATTTACATGTGTTTTTTTGGAAAACACAATACCATCTATAGATATATACTTATACTACCTGATTCAGATTTACATATTTGTACATTGGAAATATATGTAGGTATTTATATATTTGTATATATACATGTATATATATATATATATATTTATATATATGTATATATATGTGTGTATATATATATATATATGTACACATCCGGACTTTTGGGTGCCGTCCGAGTCGGCTCGGTTCGCGAGGCTCGGGCGCCTTTGCGGCGCTGCGCTCGGACGGCCGGGTGGTCACCTGGGGCGAGGACCGGGAGGTGGGCCGGGGGGGGGGGGGATGGGGGGGGGGGTCAGGGGGTGAGAGGGGGGGGTGAGGGGGGGGGGGGGTGAGGGGGGCGGATGGTGGACGCTTTTCGGGTCTATTTTGCAACCTTTCCTTTAGGGTATTGGTTTTCAGGGTTCATGGTTGCAAAATAGGCTCTATGTCCATGGCACGGGGGTGGCGGGGGTGGGGAAATTGGAGGGTTCTCAGACGGAGTAAGTCTAGGTCCCCCAGCAATTGGTGCCCTGTCTCACCCGTTTCTTTTTTGGTTGGGAGATTCGGTTCCCCTACTAAAAATAGACTACAGAAAAAAAGGGTGCTGGAGACCTAGAAGTCCGAGTAATGTTAACCCCGGATGAATAAACCCGTGGTTGATTAATATGGGGGTGTCCCTGGTGTTAGTGGGAATTCATAACTTTTGTAGGAGAACACCCCCATATTTATTAATCCGGGATCAACATTAAGTCCCACTTGTCGCCTCACTCCCCGAGTTCTTGGACTTTGTCCTTTTTGGGAAGCCAAAGGTTTAGACTCTTTTTGGCCATTCCGCTCAGGAAGTGAGTTGCTTGGAAATCAACCCTTGGGGCCCTAATTGAGTGAGGTGCTTCTTTGGGCAAAATGAGGGAGCCCCAAGCGGGGGTGGGGGAAACAAGGTTCAAGGGCTCTGGTGGGTGGCAGCTGCCCCTCGAGAAGCCCTTTATGTGGACTGGCAAGAACAGGAGGGAGGTGGCGAGTTACTTCGGATTGAACCTATTGTTTTTTGATAGGACGGACATCTGTTTTTTGCATCTCAGTCAAAATGGAATTGGGGAGGCGCCCGGCCTGTGGAAGTACAGAGTTTGCTTCCGTGCTCTCCTGAGGAAAGACTATGCTCCCTCCCACCAACTAAAATGCAACGGTCGCTTTTTGAGGAACTGGTCTTCCAGCAGCTCCCTTTTTGATCAGGTTCCATAGTGAGGAAAAGTACATTAGGCTAATAATGATCCTCAATCCCCTTATCCAGGTGGAAGGCAGGGTATAGGCGCCCTTTGGCCAAGAGTTAAGCTAGATGCAAAGATGGGAGGAACACATTTGCTCGGGGGTTCAACTGCGGAGCAAACCCCAGTTCCCAACCAGTCTCAAGTCAAGGTTTGCTCCATTTCCCTTTTTAAAGTGGCGATCGTTTTAAGGGAAACCAGTAAGTTGAGTCAGCTTTGAAGGTGAGATCCAGTGAAGCCTGTTACGTGGGTTGACAGCCCAGTGTATCTTTGTTGGATGACTCGACGGGAATGTCCAGATTAAAACAGCAAAGCACGATAGTCCACACAAGCAGGTGGAAGACCCGAATTTTTTGTGGCCCCCTTGGGGCCCCCGGCAGAGTTGAACACATAACTGGCACAAACATAAAGCTCGCCCTCCCACCAACAAACGTGTTTTGGTGCACAGACTTGGTTTGGAAGGCGCAGTTCCTTCTGCTAAGTTTGCGTATGCATCTAGATATGGATTTGCACTGTTGTCAGCAACTCATAGCGAGCTTGTCCGGGGCAAAGACGCGCTGACCCGTGATGACGGTGCCTTATATAGGGAATAGACAGACAGATAGATAGATAGAGGGTAAGATAGATAGACAGATAGATTAGATAGGCAGACAGATAGATAGACAGATAGAGAGATAGAGAGATAGAGAGATGTAGTGCCTGACAGCTGTTTTTGGCCCCGCTCAAGGCCACAGATCTCTCGGGGACTCCTTTGGCCTGTCGACCCAACTCGGACGACCCGGCGAATCCGGCGCGGCGCGTGGCACGGCTCTTCGCGACGCTTTGCTCAAAGCAAAGGTGCGGTTCCCGCGTGTCTTGGCATCTTCACCCCCTTCAAAATGGAATTGGGGGAGGTGGGTGGCCCCTGGAATTCCTTTTATGGTGCCATTGTCCCTTTTGTGAGGAAGAGTAAATAAATGGAATTGGGGGACCCCCACCCCCCGCGTCCCCTTAGCTTGCTGGTGCTCAGCAGGGAATGCAGGAATGACCCTTGCAAACCATTTCCCTTGTGGTTTCCTTTGAGGGAGTCCTGGGTTCATTCCCACATTACCTACTGAGCAGCAACAAGTCATGTGCTTAGTGTCCACTAAACCTACTAAAAGTTATTTTTTCCCCAACAGCTTTGGGGTCTCAGCCCAGATAGGCTCCGGCAAGGTTCCACGAGCGTTCCACCAGCGTTCCACCAGCGTTCCACCAGGGTCCCACCAGGGTTCCACGGGTTCCACGAGGGTTCCAAGAGGTTCTGCGAGGGCTGCGGGGTGGTGCGAGCACGAAAATGAGCACCGCATGCTGTTGGGGATATCACCTGAGCTTATTTTAGCAGGGGATTTTAGGATAGCCCAGTTGTGGCAAAATAGATGTGGCGCTTTACCGATCTGGCAAAATCGGTGCGTCTCCGTGGGTTTGACTGGTGCAATTCCAACTTTTCAGCCAGGAATTTTCTGAGACATTCGTAACGTCGGCTCCGATTTAGTATAGGCTCTTCGTGGTTTTCTGAGGATCATCTTTCGGGACAATTTGACATGAGCTTCTCTTGGGGTGATGTTTGCAATCTGGCAAGACCCTTTTTGTTAAACCGCTTGACCTCCGTTTGCCTTCCGTTTTTGGGCCCAAACAAAAGTTTTCTTTATGGGACTGAGCAAGCGAGCGGGTCCCCCTTTTCAGCAAACCACGCCAGCAACCATGTGTAATAGCTGGTTGGTGACTGGGGCGAGCTCAATTATTGCAGGAACGGTTCTAGCCTATAACCCATTTGAATTTGAATTGTTGCCAAGTTTCGTGGCATCTTTTCACCTTTACCGTTTTGGGAAAATGTGCGTTTCCCCACAAACCAGTGACCAGACCAACTTTTGCGCCGCGCCAAGCCAAGGAACTTGCGGAGCTTCGCGGCGCTGCTCAGCGACGGCTCGGTGGTGACCTGGGGCTGCCAAATCGCGGGAGGCGACAGCAGCCAGGCGACGCCTGGAAGGGACAGGAGGATGTTGGAGTCCTTTGCCGTCAGTTGCCATCCTCTTGGAGAAAAAGGAAAAAGAAAGCGACTGGTTGAGGGTTGGCATAGGGTAGTAGAGTCCTGTTGAAGAAAAGCCCCTTGTTCACTTCCATCATTGTTGGGGGGCTTGTAGGGGGTGGGTTTAGGGACTGGTTGAGGGTTGGCATAGGGTATTACGGATTAGGATTTGGGATCCTCCCATTCAATCATTTGAACCGCACAGCTAAGCAGGTTTTCTAGCGATCTACAGAATTATATAATTGAGATTCGCAAACTTCGAAGTCCCAACCACCTACCTGGGTATGTACCCCTGCAGAACACCGCAGAGGAGAAAACTCAAAACACATGTTTCATAAAGGGCATATGACCGCTTTCACCGGAAGGATGCCGTGGGTTCCAAGGGGCACGAACCCGTTGCTGGCTTAGACTTCGCACCTAACCGCTTCCAATGGGCCAGGTGCAGCACCAGCTCTTTGGCGTCAAGGAGATCGCGGCGGTGGACTTCGCTTTTGCCGCGCTCAGGGAGGATGGGCAGGCGCTTTGGGTCTTTGGTAATTGGGGTCTGAGGTCTATTTGGGATCCCTCCATGCTCCACCAAAAATCAGCAAACTCACTGTCCTTTGGGGGAAACCTCCGTAATTTAGGTGTCTTGTGGCCCAAAAGTTTCCGGCACTGAACCTAAATATGGCACCACCCACACTCTCTTCCTGAGTTCATGAACTGTAAACTTCTTGGGAAGACCATTTGTGTGGCAAATTTAAAGTTTGGACTTTTTTTGGGCCATCCACTCAGCAAGTGAGCACAAGTGGTTGGAGTTCTGTGACAGAACTCGTCCAATGTCCGAAGTTCCCCACCCCGAGCTCCAAAACTGTCCGCCTCAGGTGGTGACCTGGGGCAACCCCAAGCTCGGCAGCGACTCCTGCGCGGTGCAGGCAAGGGGGCCGGAGTCCCAAGAATAGTGAAGGATTAGAGGATTCCCTTGGTCTCAGGTGATTTGCAGGTGATGTGTTTTGAGGAACCTGTGAATGGCCAAAAAGGTCGAGGAATGCGATTTCAATGAGCTGGGAACCATCGGGGGCCTTCATGATTTTGGCAGACCCCGATTGAATCTGCAGGAACCGCCCCCTGCTGCCGCTTGCTTCCACTCTTATAGTTTCATACTTCCTAGGTAGATCCACAACTTAAAATCTGCCAAGTTGTAGCCTGACTTGACGCCATCGACTCTCAGCTCAGACTCAAGTTCCAACGTGTCAGCTGTCTAACCTCCAAATCAGAGGCCGCTCCCAAGAGCGTTCGTTCCCTTTCGCCTCCCTTCAATACAACCTCCGGAAGTGGCAATGTCACAGGACATTAATCAAGCAGACAATTCCCCATTGGCGGCCCAATGTGAAGACAGTATCATGGGCCCAAGGCAAGCTGGTCAGGGCTTAGTTGTTGATTTCAATATGGAAACCATGAAGAGTTATAGCAAGGCTTACCTGTGGGTTTTGGGACGGCAATCATGGACACTTTCCAGGGTTTTCGGGGGTTGGTTCAGGTCGGGGTCAAGCCCGACTGAGAACCAACAAGTTGAAAGGCTGAACTCGTCCCCAAAGGCAGCAAAAGGACCAGCCTGAATTAGCCTTCTGAAATCACAAGTTGATCCCCTCCCCTCCCTCCCCTCCCCCCCCTCCCCTTCTGCAGGTCTCCCTCCCTCCCGTTTCCATGTCTCCTCTCCCGATAGAAGCTTTCGCCCCTCTTCGGCGCGCCAGGCGCAGCTGGTCGAGGTGCAGCAGCTGGCCGGCACCGCCAGCAGCTTTGCGGCGCTGCGGTCCAACGGCTCGGTGGTGACCTGGGGCCAGGCGAAAGCCGGGGGCGACAGCAGCCGGGTGCAGGACCAGCTGCGGCAGGCGGGGGATTTTTGGGTTTCGGGGGGTGCGGAAGAGGGATTTTTGGAATTGGGGGGGGGGGGGGGCGGGGTCGGCATTGTGTGGTTTTAGGATTTTGTGGGTTCCCGTGACATGTAGCGTGGTTTTTATCCTTCAAGGGGTCCTTTGGGAGTTCCTGGAAGGGGCTCCAGGGTCCTTTGGTGTTCCTCAGCGCTTTCTGGGACCGATGCGGGAGGGAAGTGCGCCGGAGAATGCGGCCGCTCTCATGAGGTCAAAATACCACGGGAGAACCGGATTCCCGAGTCTGCGCTGAACAGTTGCCCAGTCACCAGCGTCACACGCAAGCCGCGCCCTCAAATTGCTCTCTAATTGCCCTTTGTGTTGTTCAGAAGTTGCGCTGACCTTGCTGAGATGCTGACTTTTGTTTTCTTGGGCAAACGGTTTCAGGTTGTAATTACATGGGGAGATTGCCTTAGTGCGAGGGTGTCGCAGGACATTTTGATACTTGCCCTCTAGCACCAAGCCAAACACAGCTTTTGGCTCCTTTCAGTTCTTATGACCATTTCCAAGAATTCCTTCCACGAAGCCTTTTTGGTTCCTGGGAGGGGGGGCGAGGCCTTTTCTTCCTCCCCAATTGGAAGACTGAGGTGATAGTGAGGGCTCATTTCAAGCGACCCTTCAACAATATTATAGTTCCCTTTGAGGGACTTCATGGGTTCATTCACAACACCTCCCTTGATTCCTTGGGAGCAGTTTGCTGGGATTTGGTCGCAATAGGTCATTTGCTTTGCCACAACAGGCAAGGAGCCGGCTTGGGAGGTGTCCATGCCGGCGGATGTTCAGCCATTGGCAGGGGACTAACCCCAGTCACAGCCATGCTTATAGATAGATTAGCTGAATATCAAGCCGGTATTGGGTAGTCCCTAGTTGTTAGTTTGGATTGGTGGTTTGGGGATTTGAACCCCTTCTTGTAGAGGGTGAAAATGGGAAACCACCAACCTCCACGCTTTCAAGCCACTGATTGGGCTCCAAACCACTTGAGAAGCTGAAGTTAGCATCATGCTAGCACCATGTTAGCACCCATAGGTGTCCTTTTTAGTTTGAATCATTTTAGTTTGATTCAAACAATCCTGGCACTGATTTACCTTGGGTTTTACTCCATTTAGGAATGACCCAGCCATTGATTCCATGTTCCAGGGACCCCTATCCCTGTTTTTGCCCCCAAGGACACCCAGCTTCTGCCCGTCGCCCACCCCGCACGAAGCACCGCGCGCAGGTGCAGCACATCGTGGCGGCGGAGAGCGCCTTCCTGGCGCTGCGGAAGGATGGCCGGACCGTGAGCTGGGGCCGGGCGGACATCGGGGGCGACAGCTCGGAGGTCCAGGACGAGCTCAGACGCCTGGTGGCCGGGACGGGGGCGGGGGACCTTTATGTCGGGTTTGTTTATTTGTTTGTTTGAGCTTGTGGTTTGGTTTGGTTGGCTTGGTCTGATGGCTGGTGGGTCGGTTGATTGGCTGTTTGGTTGGCATGGCTTGGGCTTGGTTTGGTCATGTGTTGTTATTTGGCAGCCTGCCTGCATGTCTGTTTGTTGGTTTGTCTGTCTGTCTGTCTGTCTGTCTGTCTGTCTGTCTGTCTGTCTGTCTGTTTGCCTGCATGTTCAGCACTGAACTTGGGCGAATACGTGAAGAAACCCCCGCAAGATTCCCGATTCATTCCATTTACTTACCCACACGGAGGGACCGTGCCATCTACTTTCACCCTGTTGCACCTGTGTTTCGAGCAGCTGAGGAGACGTGATATCCATTTCCAGCACCAGGCATGCATTTGCCGCCATCCGGGCAGATGGCCGCGTAATTACCTGGGGCAGCGCTCATGAGGGGGGCGATAGCAGCAGTGTGAAAATGCAGCTGCTGGATGCTTTCGGAATCAGCTGATCCCACAGGCAGGAGCAGCTACACAGATCATTGGCCCAGCAGAGGTCTTGCTTGCCAAAGGTCGCGAGCTTTTAAGCAAGGTGACGCTTTCAGTGTGCTAGGGCGCGGTTCCTGTTTGGAAAGCCAACTGGCGTTCCAGCTGTGTTTAGTGAAAAGCTCATAGTACGGATGCCCAGCACCTGCATACAAAAACTGCCCAAACCTGCCATGTGTTGCAGATTTCTGATTGTTGCAGGTTGTCTTGCCTGTTTTGGCGAGGTGCCAGAGGAATAGATTCTCCTTGGCCTACTCTGCAGGGCTTGAAGCTGGCAGCGCTCACGGCGCATTTGTTTGGGCCCAAGGAGTCATGGCACCTCAATCGAGTGGGGTGCTGACAACTTGAGCTATACATGGCGTCTGAGGGCCATGACTCGCAAGCTTCAAGCTGGATCGTTCTTGACTCAGGTCTTGGGATCTTACACTGGTGAGGGAGGCCCTTTGTGTCAAAAATGTCAGGTCATGCTTTTGGGTGCTAGAGTAAACACCCCATTTTCACCATCGTGGGTGCCTTTCTGTTGCAGAGAAACTATTTGACGCCCATGCGTCCATCAGGATGGCTTCTTAGCGTGGCACCTTGCCCCTCTTGTGCGCCATGGGGCGCAGCCATCGTTTGGCGGCATTTTTCGCGCCGGGGGCTTGTTGGCCCGATCTGCTGTCATCAGAGAATGCTTGGGATCTCTGCTGAAACTTTTTTTGCATGCCAAGGTTCGCTGTGTACGGACCAGAGTCAAAAAAAACACATACTGGCATTTTAAGATGGAATAGCTTCATGCTTTCAGTGCTAGGCTTGTGTCCTTCATCTTTACCTTCAACCAGCGACACGTTCACTTGAGGGTCGGGTTTGTCCGGCTTTTCCTAACTTGGACGAAATCGGAGCATCGGAGCGCTGAGCACATCCTGGGGCCAGCCTTGTACCGACTCCTCATGACTCCTCAGCGGGTTTGTCTCCAAAATGGGAGGTGGATCCTACCGTTTTAAGCTATATGTTGCCACGGCCGGGACAATAAGAAACATGAATGTAACCTTCTGCAGTGAGCAACCATCAGTTTTATCAGGTTTATGGACAGGCATCCACGGGGAAGCCTCACACGTGCTAGCTGTGGAATACAGGCGGGTCTACATGTTTCCAAAACATGTTCTTCCCTTTGATTGCCCTTTAAGCCTTTGCTGCTATGTGTGACACCTCATCTGGCTGTGCGTCAAGACCAGGGAATCTTCCAATTGGGAGGTGTCTGTTTGACATTTGCGAATGGTCTCTAAGTTTGGTTCATGAGGGCACCCTTTGAAGCCAAGGGAACACCAGAGCGAACCACTCATTTTGGGGGCTTCCCCCATTTGGAGACAAACATACACTCGGTGTCCAAGCCACTTAGTACACAGGCTGTAAGCATGGTTGTGAGGGACCAACCCATACTAACCCCAGTTACCCAGCCCATGCTAACCCCAGTTACCCGGTGAAAGCGATGGTCGTAATCTGCTTCCTACGTTAGTTGACCATCCAAGTTGTTGTCAAGCCCCCAGTTGTTACTAAGTATGCGGGCTGAACATTCATTGCCCATTGCCGAGGCTGCCCCTAGCCTTTTGCTGGGTGGCGCCCATCTATGGCAGCTCGGGCGATGATGTGGGTCGTGCTGTTGCAAGGGATTTCGGTTTGGACCATGAACCCGTGAATCAAGTTTTCGCGTGGTTTATTTTTTTTAATTCCGGAACCAATGCGTGTGTTTATCGAATGATGTGAACATATGTTTGTTGCCTGCTACAGTCACGAAACCATACAAAGAGGTCCCCGTGTTCCGCCTGGGGGGGGTGGCTGGCAAGAAACCTTGGTATGGCTTGCGAGGGCTTACTAAGGCTTAGCAAGCCTTGGTAGCGCCACATTTGGGCCAGGACCATGTTGAAGTCACGAGGAAATTGATCTGGCGTCAGGCTTGTACATTGGCCAGGGCGTTCATCCTGCGCACCAGTTGTTGTCCTTGTGGAACCACTAACAAGAATCCGGTGGATGGTCGGAACTGAGTTTTTTCTTTGAATATGTTTACATGTTGTAGGACTGACTGGCGGAAGTGGCGTAAACGGGCAAGGTGGCAGAGGACGTGCCGGAGTGAGGTAAGTAGGTTCCCTAAGAGCCATATATACATGTATATATATATATATATGTTTATCACCTTCCAGTGGGCTTAACACCAATCAATTATAGGCATGCACCTTCGTACTCCCCTGACTGGATGGCAAGAGTCAGCGATTCCAAGGGGGGCACTCACCTCGCTGCTGAGACTTGCATGTCAGAGAAGAGGTTTGCATTTCCAACGGGCAGGTTTCCGTTTTGCTTTGCCTGGAGATTCGCACATGGATCCCTTTTGTGTCCGGTCCCAAAAAGAGATCCCTCCAGAAATTGGTGTTGGAGGGTTCCACGCCCGACACGGTGAGCCAACTTCAACAGGAATGGGATTGTGAGCTTGAATAGCCAATAGCCCTGCATGTTTGTCGGACATAAAACCCTGCACTCATGCCCACTAAAGGGTTATTTTCAGAATTTCACTCGCAGGTTCTAGCAGTACCCTACCAGCGCGCATAGGTGTCCTTTTTGGTAAGTTTGGTTTAAAAATGCAGGGCCCTGTTTTTCCTCCATAAGGGGAATCATACAACCAGGCGGGACGGGGGTAATCCGTTTGTATCCTTCTGAAAGAATGAAACCTTAGACCAGCGCTTCCTTTGCCCGCGCTCCAAGAAGCCCACCGAGGCCGGGTACTGAGGCCGCGGAAAAGTCGTGGCGTGAAAGCCCTGGCAAGAGGCGTGCCGAGCGAGGGGTGGAGTTGGATTGGAGTTATCCGTCCTAGGGTGTTGATTTGCAACTGATAGGGAGGGCATGAACCAGGTTGGGTGTTCAAGCCACTTAGCCAGGTTAGAACCGTGGTCATTGTGGGGAAGACCAGGTCGTAACCCACTCATGAAGTCGCTTGGTAACTGGGTGAGCTCCATCCTAGCCTTGATCGTCATAACCTGCTTAGGCACGTGTCTAATTGGCGTGCCTTTTCTTCTAGAACAACCCGACAACAAGTTCCATTGGAGTGATACCACAAGTTTCATGTGTGGTTCCCCTTTTCTGTGATACCAAGGGGACCCTTTCAGGCGCCAAAGTCGTGGGTTGGGGGACGGAAGCAAGCGGAGTTTCCAAGGCGATGGCCTGCCGGAAGTGGCGGAGGACCTGGGCTCGCGGCGGGAGGTGGTGACGGACTGGGCCCAGGGCCTGCTGCAACTCGCAGGCTACACTGCGAGATGCGGGCCGGGGGGGGCCGGGGGGTGGGGGGTGGGCCTGTGGGGGAGGGGGACCCTTTGCTGGAATTTGTTTGCGTATGGGCTTCAACATGGCACAGCTTGACGTTTTTGTGGCCAATTTTGATTCACCATTCCTGGGTGACTGGGAGGGTAAGCATCAACCCCGCCTTAATTTGAAATTGAGGGAGGGGGACATTTCGACTCTAGAGATCTTTATTTTCCTCTTTGTGGGGGAGGCACGAAAAATTGAATTGGGCGACCCGCTAACCCCCCCGGGCCCCGAAATTGGTTTTCTCCATTGGTTGAAGCAAACAAACAACTGTAAATAAGCATCGCCTTGCAGTCTCCAAGGTCAATTGAGTTAATTACCCTTGTATGTTGTTCAATGTCATGTCCTTTTCTTTCTTTGTTTCTTTTTTCTCGGGTTGCTATATGCGAAAGCCACTTGGACGAGCTTAATCAAAAACAGAAACTTTGACCTGCGTTCACCCAGTTCACGACTAAGCCCCTCTTTGCTTGGCTTCCCTGCCAATATAGTCAAACCAGCCAAACACTTGGGGTCGACAATCTGAACCAAAGCGCAGGCTGAAGCTCGTGGACCCTGACTTCCAACCCATCTGTTTCTTGACCTCCATGTTTTCCAGCTTGTTTACGGACCTCGGCAACAGGTTCAACAAAGCAGTCTCAACTCAAAAGATCTCCACGTCAAAAAATATCTGATCCCAGAAACAGGTTCAACTGAAACAGGGTATTCCTTTTGCCCCCCAACCCAACTCCACCCCACCAACTGCAACAGCCAACTCCACCGTTCCCCAGGCTCCCTGGCCGCCTTTGCCGCGGCCTTCTACGTGGGCGCCAAGGTGGTTCTCCTCGGGCAGCCGCGGATGCCGGCGTTGCGAGGCGCGGACCCGTGCGCGTTGGCGCCGGGTTTTTGGTTCGGAGATCCGACGGATCGCCCAACATGGAGTAGTCAATGAGGTATGTTTGGGGAGTTAACCCCGGTTACGTAGTAGTTATTGTGCATTTGTGTGTTTTTTAGTTGGTTTGGGAATGGGGGTAGTATGGTTGACACTGCTCTTTCTTGCAATAGCTTCGGCTGGATGGGCACAGGAGCTGAAATGGATTCGCCAAAGTGCCCCTGGCATGTGTTCCAGCCGGGCTTGGTGGCTCTTGACGGGGAAACGTCAAAATATGTCAGGCAACACCAACTGGGAAGGGGGGGGAGGCCTGCTCTGGCGAATCGGGCGAGGCATAGAAAAAATGACCTGGAAGGTCACCTAGCTCAAACACACGACCTGAATGACGGGCAACTTGGACACCTGAATGTCATCAGAAACTTGGAGAGAAAATAGAGGGACCCCCTAGCAAAAAAAACCGAGAGCAACGTACCTGCAAAATGGGTAGCATGTTGCCGGCGGATATTAGTCATCCTGACTATGTGCGTACATGCATAAATGCAGAATACCTACATGTTTTCCCATATTATATTCAAATACATATGCACATGCTCATGTTTCTATCTATGTGCATAATGATCGAAGTGAACCAGGCGCCTGCTTGAAGCGGATATATTGATCATCCATCTCAAATATGTGCGTATATATATATACATACATAAGTGCAGAGTATATATATATATATATATGCATGTTATATTTCGTTCTATGCATACACATATTCATTTTTATATATAGAAAGAGGGAAAGAGACAGGAGCACGCCCCCACAGGGCCGTACCAGACCATCGGCTCCCGCCTCCTGCGCCTCGCCAACCTCCGGTGCCGCCTGCTGTACCCGGCGGATCCGGCGGCCCTGGGCGCGCCGGAGGCACCATATCTGTCGGAGGGGAAGAAGACCTCGGCGCCTGGGAGGGAAATTGATTCGTTATTTGGGCGGGATTGTTTTTTTGGTTGACTCCCTGAGCTTCGTTTCGGACTTTAGTCGCTTTTTTGGGTTTGGACCATTTTAGTGGCAAACAAAACAATTGGTTGCTTGTTGGGCCAGTCCACTCGGGAAGTGAGTTATGACTTTTTCGGGGTATCAAAGTCAGGAACTGGTGTGGTTTCCCTGTACTCCACTTGGGGTGACCTTGATCATGGTGAAAGGCCAGTCTTGCGGAGGTGCCTTACATTTTTCGGGCTTACTTCAAAGGAGAGACGGAGAAAACACATGGCACAGTGGCTTTACGTTTTTTATGCAGGTGCTTCTGTGTACCAGATTCTGTGATGCCAAGGGTAACCCTTTGAAAGTGACCAAGTAGCCAGGGATGACCCACGGCCCGCCGAGCCTGAGGACGCGATGGCGGGCTTGGTCTTTTTTCCTGGGTTTTTGCTGGAGCACCTGGCCGATGCCGGCTCGGGCTGTGTGCAGGAGCTGCTTTTTTGCCTTGAGCCCGGGCCCAGCGCAGGGATTCATACACAAAACTTGATGCAATCCATGATTGCATATGCCATATGCCGCAGTCTGGCGCATCTGGATGTGCCTATTTCAGGGTACCCTGTGGGGAACCACGCCGCTTGCCTTTTCAAGTCACAGAGGGTAAACGTTGATATGTTAGGGGACTTTACGGTGAGGGCAGCTTTGCAAATGAAACTCAACATTTGACAAAGCAATGTCATTGAGTCATGTAAACATAACATGAAGGGTCAGTTTCTGCCAATGCAGCCTGACATTGTTGCATCACCTTGGGCCCAAGATGCCTTGCTCAGGCTTCAGCGACTAGAGCCTGACATGAGCCTGACTACGTTCATGGATTGCATCCCCATTTCTCAAGTAATGTATGGAAGTGGCAAAGCGTACCTGCCCGGCGATTCCCCCGAGGCGGTCCCCAAATCGTTGCCAGCTGTCGTGGCCTTGATACTGCGGCTGATCAAAACCCAATCGGTGGAAACTTGCTTCAGCTTCCTTCGCTGAGGACCCAATTTCTTTGCTATTACGTCCCCGAGTAGTGCGCTTTTACCCTTTTGTGGGGGGAGGGTTCACCTAACATAGACTGCAGACAAAAAAAGAGGTATCCTTATTCTAACCTCTCTACTGGAGGACCTAGGCTAGGGTCACCGGAACTGTTCCTGTTGATGTACACCGGATTTCGCGCGGGTCAGCGCGTGAGGATGCCCCGCCCTTGCTCAGTGACACAGGCTACCCCATCCTGGTCTACTCCCATGGTCAGGGAGGCTTTCTGGGTGGTGGCATACTGTGTGGAGTGCTGTACTGCCATTGAATGGCCACTTCCATTTGACCATAGTTTCCTACGTCCCTGGAAGGCGAAGAGGATGTTAATTGTCCCTTAACTGCCGTTTTGCTCGGGGTGAGGATTCCCAGTTTTCGCAGGGGAATAGCCATGAATGGTACGAGCGTACTCCTGGTTTGTCGCCTACAGCAAATACAAGTTGAAGGAACCGTGAGTGGATCGCATTTTATGTTTTTTTGTGTTTAACTTATTTACTGAACGGGACCATAGTGAGACCTGTTTCGTAATTTTGCGGAGGGCCGAGGAAAGTTACCCATCCTGTCTTTGTGCCATGCTCTAGCGGAGTGCTCCGGTTGAAGCAGGAGCGGGTTGAAGCCACCTGATTTTGACTGCCAGGAATTTGCCTTGTGCGATCGGCATGGGAATGAGAAATGGAATGACCCCGACAAACCATCCAACTGGTGGTTTCCTCGAAGGGGATCCCTGGGTTCATTTCCACATCCCCTACTGAGCACCGGGAATTTGCGCGTTGATACATCAACTGCCAGCGTTCCTGTGGCTCGGTTGCCCAGGGCTCATCACCTTATGGCTTCCTTTGATCCAACCTCGTCCCAAAAGTTGAAGCTGTCCCCAGGTCCGTGGAACAAGTGAGGCTCGGATTTGCCGGCTGGTCCCCACATTCTGAGCCATTCCCCGGATCGTGCATGGATGAACGTGCCGGCAGGCAACATGGACATGGGGACCTATTTTCTGAGGCGGGACAGGGTGAGGAGATGACGCAATTTGCAAAGGTGTTGCTACACTGCGCAGGGCGGGCCTTGTCAATCACAATCTCCCCGTTACCCTAAAGGCCCTGTGAATGTGTGGCATGTACTTTGACGGTCCTGGTGTACCTCTTTGACGTGTACTCTCCTGCCTCGGTCTCCTATTCGTATCTCGCGGCCCCGGCCCCATTGGCAGAGCCTTTCAGCAGCCTTTTTAAGCGCCGGTTGTATCTCATAGCAACTGGCCTTGCCCGTCCCAAGGCAGCAGCTTGTGAAAAAAATGGTGACCCGGCAAGCTGTTTGTAAGGTTTTGAATATCAATGTTGCCAAGTCACTGTGAGTGAGTCTCCCTTTTCAAGGTTATGTGTTTAAGGAGCATGTAGGGGATTATTGGGTTTTGGGAACTAAATTGTTTGTGCTGCTCATGCATTTGTGTGCGTGTGGCCATTGGCAGGCAGATAGCGAGCTACGGATTGAGACTTGGCAAATCGTGCGGGGTAGCCTCTTCCATCAATGGCTGCACCAATCGCTGAGAAAGCACGGCGCAGGCTTCCCTACTGAAAATAGGCTCAACAAACTAAACTGGGTTCCCTTTTGTCCAGCTTTCAGGTCACAGGTTGCAACTGGGCCCATTTGGATTTGTGTTTCTTGGGCGTACCCTTTTATCTGTCCAGGTTGATTTAAAGGCAAACCAAGAGGAAAGCAACCCTGTTGCCCTCCCCATTCTCACATACCCAAGGTCCTCGTTTTTTTGTTTTTTTGTTGGTTTCCCCTTAAACCACGGTGAAGGGTGCTGTGGACAAAACGCACGGCGCAGCCCATTTCACCGAGGATCGTGGTGGCGGTGGAGCACCAGGATGGCTCCGCCTCCACCGGAGACGAAGCCAACCCCCGGCCCTTCAGCCTCACGCGCGGCCAACTGGGGGTGAACTACCGCGCGGAGGAGCTGGTGCAGGCGAATCCGCCGCTGTGTCTTACTTGCTGATGGACTGTGGTCACTTTTGTTGAGTTTGGACAACCTTATAGTGGTACCACAAAAAGTGTGGTTGCTCTTTTTGGCCAATCAGCTCAGGAAGTGAGGATGAGTGAGGTGTGCGTATACTGGCCAAAATGTAACGAGCTCGCCGGTCTGGGGTGAAACGAGCTTGGGCCCCATGATGAAGGTTCCTCGCGTGGATTCCTTCTTTGTGGCTCGTGATTTTACAATAAGTTTCCCAGATGCAGAACACATCAAGGGAACGGATAGGTTTAGATTTGTTCCCCTGCATGGAAGTGGACAAGGGGCTTCTTCAAAATGAGTATAGTCTTGCAAACTTTTTTTTTACTTGAATAAACCTCTCGTCAGCTTCCACGAGTGATGACCGAACGGAGAGCCTTACCATGGCTACCGCATTTTGAACTGGCTGGCACTGCTGCCCTTTCAGACTTTCATAGCGGTTTGGGTGTTTTTTCTTGGGGGGACGGGCCGGATCAATGGGACCCCAAAAGGTGCAGGGAGTCCGCTTCCTCATTTCGAGACGCCCGTTTGGAGGTCACGTTCTCAATACTTAGTTTGTGTCCACCACCGGACTAATTTCCGCAATGTGTGACTGCAAAAGCAAAGGGACAATCAACAGCTAGCAGCTAGCTGTGTGTCTTCCTTCGACCCAAAAGGCGGAGCACTGTGCTGGTTTGAAAAGGGGAGGGATCATCCCCGAGAGAATCAAGCATCAGTCGCCATATTTCCTGTGGGTACAAGGGTAAAAGTGTACGGGGTGTGCCGCGTTGTTTCCCGAATTGGGGGCTGGGGGATACGTGTTTTCATCTTGACTGCTATTGGGTTGGATCTTTAGACTTCAACTTTTTGGGAAATCAAGTTGGGTTTTCCACTAAACCCCCCAAAAGGTTAACAACTTTTTGTATGGGGGGTCAACAGCAACCAAGTTCTGTGTGAGCCGAAAAGCCGCAGGTGACACGGGCATTGCTCTCGGAAAACCTGGCCGAAGAGCTCGGGGGCCAGAGGCAGAACGTCCTGGTGGGCGGCCACAGCCTCTCGGAGAGGCGTCTGGTTGTTTTCCAGCCGGCAGCTCACTGGGGGCGAACGCGAGCTCACCAGGAACATCCCCAGTAAAGAGCCTTGTTCCCATAGGTGTCCTTTTGTCAAAATAGATGGCCCTGGTAAATGGAATGAAGCCAACCTAAACCAGTGGAACCCATCTATTTCGAACCAAAATCACTAAAAAGGACGCCTATGCTTTCCTAATTTGGGCTTTTGGGATTATTGCAAGAGTTGCAGACCGCTTGTAACCCATTGTTTTATTTGACAAGAGGAAATAGATCCAGGCACCCACAGGTGCTGTGCTAGCGAGGGGTAGTTGCCCCTGAAGCAAGCTAGGGGATAGGTTCTTCAGAACACCGCTAATTACTCGAAAGGGAACCTGAGAGAATAGCAAGTTGGACAGAACTTCCCAAAACGGGATGTAGAACTACTCAAAGGGTGCCAAAACCGTTTGACTCCTTTTGAAATGCTCCAAGTCTTGAGCATTTTCCGCTGCAACAAGTTCCGAACTGGTGAAGCTAGTTGGCGCCAGTCCCTTGATGTCTCGCTTCCTGCGTTCCTGGGCTTACTTGTTTGGATTTGTTGGGCAGACTGTTTGAGTGGCAAACCGCAAGTTCGGACCTTTTTATGGCGAATCCACTCGGAGCAATGACTCACGTAGGTTGAACTTTGGTGGCGACCGAAAGCCCAGCTTGAGGCTACGGCGGCCCCACGGCCATCCTTGCTGCGGCCAAAGCCCCGGACTTCTTCAGTGGCCTGGCCTGGGGCTCAAGCGGCACAGGGGGCCCAGGGGACCCAGAAGTGGATCGCAGCAGTGTGTTGGAAGGCAACCATCAGACAAGCTTTGCTCCTGCTTCCCCCCAAAAAAAAACGAAAAAGAACAGAAAAACCGCGCCCTAGGGCCTCAAGGGCCGGGGGGGTGGGGTTGAAACCCTGACGTCAAGGTGAGCTCACCTGGGACCTGGACAGTGCGGGTGCTGTGCTAACCGTCTGGCTACTCCCATGATTGTTGCAAAGCCCTGCCAAGTTTCATACCTTGTGGAGCCTTTGGAGGGGCGAACAACAAACGTTTGGACCTCTTTTTTTTGGTATGCACTGAGGAGGCGAGAAAGAGCCAGCGTAGGAGCTCTTGGACCGAACTTATGGCCAAGCCACTCAGAAAGTAGATGTGTCGGAAGCTGGCCTCAAAGAGACTTTGCTTGAGGTATGTATGTGGGGTTGCTGGTTGGTGGCTGGGGCAACAAGATTTCGGGCACAAAAGGGGGCCTGGCCGCAATCTCATTCAAACCTGGGGCTCAGTAGGGGGTCGGTCCACGGATACATGTTGCACAGTCAAGAACAAACAACAGTGCGGGGCTCGATTCCCGCCCTTTTGATTCTAGCATGGGATTTGCTTGTATCTTAGTTGCCCTGCCTATGGTTTCATGGTTATAAGCCCCAGTTCCCTCGGGGCACCCTTCACTCGCCATGGTTTACCCCTGCTTGCCAGTTGGGTATGGGTCAAAATTGAGTCACCAGGATATGGACCGCGGGTTTTGGTCCATGTTTCCATTTACCAGGGTAACCCATCTTTGACCCTGCCTGCCAGTTGGAAGCCGACCACTTGGAAGCTCCAGGTGCTGCACGACCCCGCGGTGAGCTCGGAGATGCCCTCGCTGCGGCAGCCGGTAGCCCGGAGAAAAGTGGCGAATCGGCAGGGGGCGGCGCCAGGCTGGATGAACCTCACCTGAGGTCCCCCAGCTAGGCGCCCTTTTACCGTTTCTTTTTGGGTTGGGAGGGTTGCCCTACTAAAATAAACTACAGAAACAAATTGGTAGCCTGATTCGAACCTCTCTACTGGAGGACCTAGCTCACGTGAGGTATCCCCCTCAAACTAAGCTGGAAACTCGAGGGAGTGTAAGCATGTAAGTGGTTGCAGAGTTTAGGGTTGGGGGCGCCCTTGAAGCGAGGTGAAGCACAGAATTCGCAGGTTCTGTTGAAACACCCTGGTTGGACTGGAAATTGCGCGGGGTATGGGCCGGGCCCTAGGTTCCAGCCCACCTACTTGTGTGTTTAACCAGCTTAGTACGTGGTCGTAGCCATGGTTACAACCGGGGTAAGCGGACTCGGCATCCTGACGGCCTATTTAAGGTGGGTTGAACGCCCAAGATGGGCCGCCCTTAAAGTGGTGGTCTTCATTTGGCTTTCCTTGAACATAATGAAGCGCGATCATGGTAGTCAATGGCCTTGTCAGGGGTTTCGGAGACGTGTAGGGTTGTATGTTTAAGTCTTTCGGTGTGCGGGGGTACATTGCTTTGCTTCTTGAGCATGGGCCGAGCTGCTCTGCAACTCCTCTCCCTCACTCCCCATTCGTGATCATGCCCCTGGCATCCAAGGTTTTCTCCATAGTGGGCGACGAGTATGTGGGCATCGAGAAGCTAGTGATCTCGAGCTGCAAGCAAGTCAAGGGAGCGTACTCAGCACGAAGGTCTTGACGCGCGGTTTGACGATGTGTGTCTGTTACTGTTTGTTTAATTAGTGGTTTGGATGTGAGTGTCGCTGGATGTGAGACACACAAAGTTCATTGGTTGTGAGCTTTGGAACCCTAGGCTCTACGGCCCCAGGCTGAATCGACTTCGGGGGCGAATCCGGACATTGGCCAAGTGTTTTTGGTTAGCTGGCCCAGCTGTTGATTCCCAAGTTCAACCATTTGTTCCTCTTTGTTTCCTTTCGGTTCGCCAGGGGCAGGTGGGTCGGCTGAGGTGACAACCGGCTCGAAGGGGCTCGGATGAACAAGTTGAAGGTTGGCAGTCTCCCGCTTTCTTCGCGCAAGCGTTTCAACATTGAGCAGCGCCCACCCAACACCCTGCTAGCATTTTAGCCGCTGGTTCTGTTGGCAGGCTTAGTAATTGGAGATGATAGTCTGGCTTGGCAAGCATGCATAGCCAGCTTTCGGCGCTGCTCCATTGCAAGAAAGGGAAGCCCCTGTTTTCCACTGGGAAAGCAGGGGGCAAGCAGGGCATGAGCCGAGTGCCTTGGGATTTCTCGTTCAAAACACAATCCGCACGTTCAGCAGTTCTGTGCTGTCTTCCTGGCTGCTGCGATGGGCAGGGAATGAGAAATGGAATGACCCTTATAAGTGGTGGTTTTCTTTAAGGGGACTGGGTTCATTCCCACATTTAGTTACGTATCGCACCAAGCTTCGTCTGGTGACTGCGACCTAAGCCCAAGCAGTATGCCCAAAGCCCCGGAACCGAAGCCCCGAAGCCCAGGAATCGAAGCCTTCCAGGAACCTGAAGCCAGGGCCCCCAAACCCACGCTTCGCATGGCCCAGTGGTCGCTGTTGGGGAAAACGCTTTCAAAGCCCATGAGCACCACAAACCAAGCCGCAGCTTCAAAACCATGTTGTTCCACCAGCCAACTAAAGCTCACCGGCTGCCTTAGGAGAGTGGTGCGGAAGGTTTCGGCCTCGGGCGAGGCGAGGGGGGCGGGGCTTGAACAACCTTTCCGTTTGGGGGCACGAGAAGTCTTGACCACTCAAGTCTTGTTGATGAAGGGACCCCCTTTTCGGGGACAAAACTAAAAAGAAACAAAAACAGTAAAACATAAGGAACCAACCATAGGAGGGACCTTCCGTGGTAGTTGTGAACCATTGGATTTCAAGGCTGCTTTCCTTGATGGGCACCAAATATGAATGGTTTCCTTTGGTCTCCCTTCGAATCAAGGCCAAAGGCGGGTTTCCTCCAAAATTCTGGAACCACCGAAAGTTGTCATTTGGAGAAATCCAATGACCCTACTGGCGACCCTTGAGGCCCTAATTAGGTGAGGTTCTTCTTTGGGCAAAATGGGGGGAGCCTGTTGGGCAAGGGGGAGCGGTCATCAGTTCCAATCAACTTCCCCTTTGTCAGGGGTCTGTCTCTTGATAGCGCCTGCAAATGGAGGAGTTCAAAGGCCAAAGGAACGAAAGGAGCACAGAGTTCTAAGGAACCTGCAGGTCAAATGGTTCAACAGGAACTTTGCTCAGGTCAAATGGTGTCCCTTCAAAGGCCAAAGGAGCCAAAGCGGGTCCCAACTAGGTCACCAGTAGAGTTTTTTTTTTTTGGGGGGGGAGGGTTGGGAGGGTTCCACTACTACAATAGACTACTGAAAAAAGTTGGTACCCTTATTCTAACCTCTCAAATCTGGAGGACCTAGCCAAGGAGCCTGAAAATTTTCGAGTGGCCGAAGGCGCGGCCTTGGAGTGGGGCCTGGCACTTCGCGGGCATCAGCCACGGGAACTTCGTGGACGCCCCGCTCTGGGCGCCTTTGGCCCGGTGGGCGGAGACGGAGCGACTGAGAAACGGGGATACTGCGAGGGCACAGGCGTCAGGTTTTTGGTGGGTTTGGTTGACAAAAATAGAGAGCACTGGCTTTTTTGGTGGGTTTGCTTGAACAAATAGAGGGCGTTTTTTGGTTGACCCTCAGTCATCTACCAGGGCCATCAATGTTCAAAAGAGGACACCTATGTACAAGGGTCCAAGTAATTTAGAATGGGGTTAGGCACGTTAAACCATATGAGTGGTAAACGTAACTAGTAGTTCTTTAGTTTATTACATGAGTTTGGGGGCAGAAGCTGAGGTAGATGTCCTGATCCTTGTACGCCCACGGAAAAAGGATGCCCAAAAAGCAAGGGGGCTAGATCGACAAACCACCATTTCTTTGGGGGGTTAATTTGCGGGGCAGTGTTGGAAGTCCACACTTGCTTTTGGGAGGGCGAGGATGGGGGACAACCCAAACTTCAAGTTTTCCGCGAGGCTCTTGAGGATTGCTAAGCGCAAGTTGATGAAGCCGATAAGAGCGAATGCCTTTTGTTGACTGAGCTGATCAATCTAACCTCCCAGAGGTTCGCCATGGTTCGCCTGAAACTCAACCTTTCGTGGAAGATGGGGTTTGCAACCCTACAATGGTTACGGTGGTTGCATCCCATTTTACCCAGGGCTCTGGCATTGCAAAATAACATGTAACCCGAAAAGGATTCCCGAAAGGAGATTCCTCGTTTGTGTTTCATGTGTTGGGGGAGGGGCTCCATATTAAAGGGGATTCCAAACATAAGAAGTTGATTGGTGGAAGAGAAGGGGGGTTGCTGTTGAACCTAATGTTGACCCCGGATTAATGAACTCCTGTTTATTAATATGGGGGTGTGCCTGGTTTTAGTGGGGATTCATCACTTTTGGAGGGGACACCCACATATTAATAAACATGGGTCTAACTTCATCCGGGGTCAACATTCGGTTTTGGGCGGGTTCCACCTGGAATTCTCGACTGGTTCTTTGGTTGCTCGTAGGGCCCGCTGCTGGTGATGCAGCTGCTGTCCCGCTTGCTGATCCCGGCGGCCGGGCCCTTCGACCCGGCCCAGGCGAGAGAGACGGGCAAGCTGGGGTCTCCAATCTGGCTCCGGGTCAAACATACCGTGGATGGACGAAATCCGCTTCTCGCACCACCCAAGACACCATGGAAAACCATTCTTTGTTGGTTGTTGCAGGAGAATCATCATTCCAGGGTTTGTTAGGTGGTGCAGGATTTTGTCCGTCCACAGTAGGTACCCAAGATTGAAGCCTAAATGGAATCAAGCGTGAAAACCTGCGGTCACCTGGTGGTATGATTTCTTATGTTGAGACTGACCAAGTACTGAACATATCAACATATTGTGTTTGGTGTATGTACCCCAGATTTGGGCATATTTGCGCCAAGGTTGGGGGCGTGTTGATTTCTCCGTTCCGCGCCCACCAAGAGTGATCAATGCTTGGGGTACTTTTGTTCTTTTCCCTTACTAAGTGACCTCCCACAAAGAGAGTCCTCAAAAACGAGGGTGTTTTGACCAGTCACTTTTGTTGGAATAATATTTTGCAATTTGCTTCAGACCGCCCTTTTGACTGCCCGTTTTACCCGTGGGATCACCCCCGTCCCCCCCCCCCCTCCCACCACTCACCAGGCGCACAACGCCATGGCCGAAGCAGCCGCAGACTTTGCCACAGGTCAGCGCCGCGCGGTCCAAAGCGACCAATGGCAGCGCCTGTGACAAAAGGAGAAAAGGGTCGTCTGGCTGGCCCCGAATAGTATCAACTCGGAGGATTAACGAGGGTGTGGTTCCCAAAGTGACGCATCCCCACTTAAACGCCGCACCACCCCTTCCGGGATTGCTTTCAGAGCTCAAGTTAACGCATCAGAGAGCTGGCTCAAATCCATCTCCCATTCCCTATAGAGATCCTATACAGGGTCCACTAGGATGCATACATGGTGTTTGGCCAAACTTACAGAACTAGAAGTGGTGGAATAGGCCAAGAGGATGACCTTCTCCTGGGATTCTTCACGAAGAGACACCTCTGTTCGATGCGCCAAGTTAATTCGTACTCTGGCCAAATCCATTTGGGGAGCATGTCGAACAACTGTACTGCGCATTCCTCGGTGAATCCCGACCAGCTTCTGCAGCCCAGTTGTCAAGAGGCGCTGCTTTGCGACACCGCGACACCGTGGCCATCACCTTGGCTCAGAAATCGATAGAGGTTGCGTCGCACGCCGCGCACGCCCGGCCGAAGGCTCCATGGGACGTCACTCATCGCGGATCGCAGGTTGAGACAGGTTGCGCGTCTCAGGATCAACTAGGACTTCATTTCACATCATGTCACGAATCATGTCACTTATAGTCTGATGTGCACTGATGTCCCAACAAGTGACATATTTTGTTTGGAGCATATAGTCAATGCAGCTGCGTTTGGTGGAGACAAGAGCCCCAGATCCTGGCATCCCATTTTGCATTTTCTACAAAAGCTGGCTTAAAGACAGACATAGATCATGTTGATTTCCCGAAGTGCCTCTCGAACTTTCTCCCATGTTAAATCAGTTGGCTCGTTTTGTTGTTGCACGATCCTTTGTATGCGCTCACCTTGATCTTAGAAGCTTCTGGACTACGGCACCGGCACGGCCTAAGCTGCCGCCAAGCGCGAGCGGCGGCACCCCGGCTCCACAGCGAATCAACCTCTTGGCCCTGGTGGGGTGCTGGCAAACCGCTCCACAATCTTTAAAGGTCGAAAAAGACCAGAAGGGGATTGATATGGTTGGCTTTGTCGGGACAACAGGCTAACCTCGAGTTATTCCCAGGTTCCATGTTCAGGTTGCCCTTTTAGTCATATTAATCTATCTTTGTTAGGGGACCCTGCAACATGTTGTGGTTTTTCTTTTGTTTTCCTCTTGAAACCATGCAACTCATGTGTTCCCTCAAGACAGGGACGCCCATACTTGTTTGCACCGATTGAATTCCCGGAAGGTCATGGCGACTTGCATGGCTCCAGCATGGTGGCCGCCTCAGTGTGAGAAATGGATATTGGCGCCTGGGGCTACCCTTTCTGTGCCCTTCAAAAGGGGAAGCCCAAAGTAGGCTGCTTAAACAGTAGGTGTTACAACATGTGAACAAAAACAGTAGGGGTTCACTCCGCTCCTTTCCCTATGTTCAAGCCACTTCGGCGGTTTCGCCATTGTTAGAGTTAGTCTCCGTGGCTGTATTCTACTTTGCTAAGTGGCGTGGACAGCCGATCAAACCGAGAGATGGCTCTAAAGATGAAAGTTGCTGGGGTTCCATGTCAATCTGCAGGGGAGCAATCCATCAGTTCCAATTTCTGCCGGGATTTAATCTTTCACCTGGGAACAACGCCCTGGTGAGCCGGGTATGTTATTTTTGACTTTTCTGCACGAAGCTCAAACACGTTCATAGCCGATCAGTTCGGCCATGCGATTTGGCAAGTTTGTGTTTAAACTTCCAGCTGTGCCCCCTCCCACAAAACCCCTATTTTGCTGGTCTGGGTCGCAGTGCGAGCTGCTGCATTGAGCTGTCACCCAAGCAGAGGGTCGCCGCACTTCCTTTTGGTAGGGTGATTTGTAACAAGTAAGGAGGATAGGGATGTTTAGTTTGAGTCAAAGACGTCCGAAAATGGCCCCGAGGCTTTGTGCGAGTTCTGTTGCAACTTGTGCGGAATGCCAGGGATTCGTTTTTGAAAGCCATGGCTCTTTGGAGCGTTCACGTGCCTTGTAGGAAGGAGAGGCCCCCACCGTCCAAACAAAGCAAGCATCCAAGCAAAGCAAGCAAGCAAACAAAGAATCACACAAACAAGCAAACATACATGCCAACCAGCCAGCCACCCAAACACATAAACAACCCAACAAACAAAGAAACAACCATTACAGCAAGCTACCAACCAGCCAACCAACCAACCAACCAACCAACCAACCAACCAACCAACCAACCCAACAAACAAACGAACAACCATCCCAACAAACAAACAAACAAACAAACAAACAAACAATCAAACAAAGAAAGAAAGAAAGAAACAAACAAACAAACACACAAACAAACAAACAAACAAACAAACAAACAAACAAACAAACAAACAAACAAACAAGCACAGACAGACAGACAGACAGACAAAAACAAACAAACAAACAAACAAACAAACAATCAAACTGGCCCCTTTCTCAGTTTTTGACACGTGTCCTTCAGTATTCCACCAGGCCCAGCCAGCGCCGGACTGGTTTCGGGAACTCCGAGCGCCACAGCGCATTGGCGCGGATGCGCGAGCGCACGGGCGCTCGAGTGCCGGGGAGGGGGGGGTGGGTGGGGTGGGTGGGGTGGGTGGGGGGGGGTGCTGGAAGGAGTCGAGAAGTGGATTGGTGTATTATTCTTTCTTAAGGCTTTTCTTCCAACTTTTTAGTTGGTGTAGTGGTTGGGTTTCTGAATTGAAGCCACAAAGTGAAATACTTTTAGCAGGGGACTGCAGGACAGCCCGGTTTTGAGCCCCAAGAATTTGGGGACCCAAGCGCTTTCGATGTCTAAACTACTCCAATGTTGAACCGTGGCAATCTATAGGTGACACCATAGGCTGTTCATAGTAATCCTCGTGCCACATGGGTTGTGTGGGTTCCCATGGTGTGACACGAGTTGCGAATTTGTGAATTTGGAAATCCCCCCCCTTCCAAACAACCCAGAATGCGAGGGGTCACTGGTCGATCAGAAGTAGAAGGTCCCTTCAAATTGTTGCCTTGCTAATGAATTGCCAGACACGTTGGTGCCTTGCCTTGGATACTTGATGGCATGTGATTCAGGCAGGAAGGAAAACTTGATGCCTGTCCCGACCAGCGTAAGTTGGTGCCAGTATTGTGCACAAGCAGCCGGATGTTGAGAATTGACCGGCACAAAGATTTGCACTTGGAGCGGAGCAAGTGTACATTGTATGTTTTTGCACCCACGGTGCATGCTCACACACTTTGTCATTGGCTGTACCTGTGTGTGCGTTCTTGTTGACTGTTGTTTTGGTCGGCTGGTTTGGTTGGTTGGTTTCCCTAGGCACAGAAAGATGTCCCTTTGAGCTCAGCTAGTTTTTAACCCTTTGCTTTTGAGCTCCGGTGCCGTGAACATCCCTTGTTTTTGGGGACTGACTACAGTAGGGCCTGGTTCGCGGAATTGCCCGTTTGGACAAGTTTTGCGGGATTTTGAAGGCTGGGGCAGCTGGGAATGGCCATCAGCCCTTTCAGAGTGCTCTTGTTTAAACTTTTTGGTGGTTTGGCCTTTCAATCAGTGCCCATCTTTGCCTTGTTCCCGGCCCACCAGAGGTTGGGTGTGCAGTTTGGTCAGGAAGGTCAATGTTCAAGAGCTGAAGAGCGCAGACCTTACGCGCTCGGGGGAAGGGGCCATTTCGCCCGAGGGGTGCGCGGCCATTTTTGCATCTCGGCAGCTGTGCGGTCTCAAGGGCCTCAGCTGATCAGAGCGTCCCTTGGCTGGGCATTGTTTTCAGCTCGTCCAGCCTGGGCAAATGGGCAACAAGAGAAGGCCACCGGTGGTCCAAGCGGCAGACATCTTATGGTCAAAGGCGGCGGAACTTGTGCTGCAGCACTTTTTTGGCCATGGGCGATATGCCGCGCATGGCACTGGTGTTGCAAAACTTGTCATGTACAAGGTGTTTTTGTACTTAGGACAAGCTGGTAACATATGCAGCACCCATCCAAACCGACACACTTCAAATGACTGCTAACGCCAAGAATCCAAAAAAACTGCGTCTTTCGGAGCAGGTCCTGCTGCGTTCCTTCATAGATGTGGCTGCGCCGCTTGCGGTGCATTGCGCTGCTGTTGTTTGCGGCCATGGCTTCCGACGAGTGCGCCACGCCGAGGCTGATTTTGACCAGCAGCCCGGCGGGAGATTCTGGGTGGCACAGTGGCAATGTCCGAACCTGCCTTGGAGGTTCAACATGTGCTCAGCGGCTCGAACACCGAATCAAGCGGCCCCTCCCCATACATTTCCCTTTGTGGATTCAAGGCGATTTTTCTCCAGGGGGGCTTTTCACGTTTTCCTAGTTTGCCCCCGACTGAGAACTTTTGCGAAGCTCCGTTTGAAGGTTGTTGCATGTGTGAGCCGATTGAGATTCGGACATGTCGCTGGCTTGTCACTTGGGTGTTCAACTAGAGTCAGGTACGTAGATTGCAACCGAAGCTGGGTTTGAACGAGGCCGACCCCAGTGACCAAGCAGAAACAACCATGGCTGTGGCCTAAGCACGCTAAACGTATCGAAGCAGGGGTGAGACTATGAATGAGATGCGTTCCTTCCTTAGGATTCGACACAAGTAGGGACTATTCAACTTTGTTGCATTTTGCTTGGATGTTAGGACTTTAACTTTTTGCCAACTATTGGGTTTTCCATTAAACCTCTAAAAATTAAACTTTTAGCAGGGGAGCAGTTTTTGCAACCGAGTCAAGTAGGACACTTTGAAGCACTAGGTTGAGCATCCCTTGCCTCGCTCGGTTCACGTTTCTCAGGCAGTGGCCTCAGCCGCAAGTTGCGGGAGGAGTTCCTGCGGATGCTGGGGCCAACAAAGGCGCGGTCGAGCGGTCGAGGGTCCGGAACGCGCCCGTCTTCGGACTCCTTTCGCGGCAAAACGCGCGCGGAGGACAAGTCCGTGTGGTATATTCCCACGGCGGCCGTGTACGAGGGCGGCGGCCTGGTGTGCAAATAAATCCTCATCCCCTGTTTGGAGTAATTTGA